GTGCGCATGCGTCTGGTCATGCGCATGGTCATCGACGGATACTTTGACCCATATTGCCATTTTGATCTATTGATGTACTGCCATTTGTATGACTTGATAACACAAAGTTTTGAAGCGACACGATGATGAGAGAGTATCTGAATTCCGTAAGTTTCCACTATTGGTGGTGACAAGCCCATGTTGAAATCAAATCATAATCAGGCGTGGATTAATGATGTCTTTTTACTAAGATAATACTAAAGTCTAAAGTCTATAGTATTACATCTACAGTTAGTGTTACTGACATGTTTAAAATTCATACGTAACAATTAATGACATGTAAACCCCACATTAATTCATATATGACTATGCAAGCTGCTCAATCGCATTACTTAAGTATTGCCGGGTCATTAGGCAGTTGTAAATTTTTATCTAGGCTGCTGTTGTAGCCTTGAAATGCAAATTTAATGACAATTGCTTGTTCGTGTGACATCTTAGTTTTTATAAACACACCTTTCTAGATAAATATATTCATTTATGAGCTTGAGAGCTCTAAATCTCTTTAGTTTGGGTGACTGCGCAGACAGTCCAGAATAGGAATTTTGCTTACTGGCCAATGTCCACCCATATTTGATTATTTCGCATTTTTAAATAACATTTTAAGACTAAGCTGCACTACTGCTCTTCAAAACCATGTCTGCATTTTCAACAATAGAGATTTTTTTCCCTAGTACTATAGCTCTAGTACCGGTACTATAGCCGGCATAGCTGGCTATAGTACTAGAGCACCCTAGCTAGTACTTACCCGACCATGCAGGCTGTGTGACTAACGTCCACAGACCAATACGTAACGTATATACCAATAGGGTATTCTAACCCTAGCAATACCGTTTCTTGGAGCACCCTAGTACCTGCATGCTAGGATCCCCAGAATCCTATAGGCATCGATAGATCGAGCTACGTAAAATGCTAAGATTAGAATAAACAATTAGGTCCACACAGTCGCGTTCAGCATAAACAACAATAAAGTCCTTAGTAATATTCATTGATAAAATAACTATTTAATGATATTTTGAATGGTTAGAAGATAGAAGGTTATTGACATTTTTTCTTTGTATGAACCCTTTTTCATGTAACGGGATCTTTACGCCAAATCAAAAGCAGACTACAACTGTAGTAAATGATGAGACGGCGTGGAGTTGGAGGAAAACGCAATCCTGATATGTAGCAAGCCTGCTGATAAAAAGTAAGTCCAATTTATGAGCATGTTATTGCTCATGCCAATACCACAATAACTTAGCTCTAGTTATATTTTAATTTTAAATTATAAATTAATGCTTCTGAGAAATTTAACTTTATCATTAAAATATTCTTCTATCTTCTTATAGAAGATACAAGTATTTTTGTATTAAACAGTTCTTCAAAATAAAAATAAATATTGTGATCAATTAGACCTATAAGGTCTGAATCTGAATGATTTGGGAATGTATAAGTACTATTTTCATATTATCTAAAAGTTTCCTCTTAGAAATACATCTTTCTTTGCTCAATATTTCGCTGTTAATGTTATAATTTTTACCAAATTCATGTGGCAGATATAATTTATTTTTAGCTTTTTAACATGCAAATATTTGTTGTCATTACCAGAAACCAAAGATTACCTTTATTTAGCATCTATTACCATGAAGTACGTAGGCTTCACGCCCTCAAATGATACTAAGCATTTACCCAAACCGAAATTACCTATTTAATTTCCCTCCCTGTAAGAAAGATAAGAACAGTAATAAATTGTTGTCTTATCATTGCAGGAAAATCACAATGGACCGAAGAGATGGAGAGAGAGCTACTGAAGGAGCTAGTTGTGAGAAACCCATTTCAGTTTCGCCGTGGCTCCCAAGAGAGAGGAAAAGTTTGGGAGCAAGTGGCTCTGGCTCTGGAACCACTCAACAAAGGAGAGAAGGCGTGTTCCTTCAGCCAGAGAACAGTCCGGGACAAATATAAAGCTTTAGCAAATAAACAAAGAATAAATGACAACAAAGAGAAGGCAGCATCTGGCATAAGCCCAGAAGAAACAGAAATAGAGAAGGAAATTCGACAGCTCATCGAGCAACTTCAAGAAATGGAGTGGATGGTGACAACATACCAACTCAAAAAAGGGATGAAGAGGAAAAAAGAAAATGGATGGCATCGAGATGCAAAACGTGATGTTGGAACGATTCTCCGAAACCAAAATGAGGTAAAATTTAATGGTTGTAAAGGGCCGGACACACCAGGCGATTTTAATGCGATTGAGTCGCCCAATAAGTCTAGTGCGATTTGATCGCGCGAGGCGAGTGAGACACACCAGGCGATTCTTACCGCGCGATTGAGTCGAGCGGACTAAATTGCCGGCGCATTGCGTGGACATACAGGCGATTTTCACTGGCAATCGCGAGTCGGGCGACTAAATCGGACGACTAAATCGCGCCTCGGTGTGTCCGGCCCTTTAATCATTAAACATAAATTCAGTCCAATAATATCTTTTAAATCTGTTAATATTATTTTAAAATATAAGAAAGATCGCGCATGTAAAACTTGTTTGCAAACAGCTCCTTATAATTATCACAAACATTTAGACAAAAAGAAAGATAATTAATTGATTCCAATTTCAATTGGTTTTCTATTGTTTTATTATTTCTGTCACAATAAGTCGTAGGACTCTGTTATGTTAGTTTTTAATTTTCATAAACGACGTGTCTAAAGATGCGCAAGATTTTAAAGATAAATAATAAGATAAAGATAAAGATTAATAATAAGAATTATGTAGTATGAAATACCCCCGTTTAAAATAAGCTGACTCATTTGTATGAATTAAATTTGCTTTTGTACTTACCATACAGTGCTTAAAATGTAGTTGTTTCTGTACTGGAAACTTCTAAACTTAACTACCAAGATATCTCCTCCAAAAGCAAAGATGTATATTATCTCCGATTGACTATAATGCCTGTAAATATTTAGGAATGATTCTATAGTGGGTGGGCCAGTTTATGTCATAAAATGTGCCAAGGGGAGGGGCAAATTCTTTAACCAGATAATGTGCCACCTCTTCAGACATTGCTTGAAATTTATTTTTGTGCTACTTATTTTGTTTCTTTCAGACAGAATGGTGAAGCACCCCCCAGAGAAAGAGAAGAAACAATGTAGCGAGACTTTAGTATTCTAGAGAAGAAGATCAAGATGATCAAGAATTCAGAAAAGACGAGATGATGAGAAAAGGAGGGAGGAAAGAGAGAAAAAACCGCGAAGAAAAAGAAAGGAACGAAGGTTTAGCTTACAGCAAACAACAGCAAATGCAGCATCAACAGCAAATGCAAAACACAGCAACATCAAATGCAACAACAGCTTCTTCAACAGCCAGCAGTTTATGCAACAGCAGGCACAGCAGATGCAAGCGATGATGATGCGCAATGATGAAAAACAATTGAAAACAAAGACTAAGAAAGACTGAAGTTTGTGAGTGTAGGCCTACATCAGAACTGTTGCATATTAGGTTTTAAGGTTTTCATATTATGTCATTGTTTTTTTAGATTTATTTTTGAAAGTAGAGTTTTATAACAGATTCATTTGTGAAATAGATTACATAGACTTTTTTTAAGATCAAAAGTATGTTTCGCCTTTGCAGGCCCTAGCCAGGGGGGGTTCGCGGGTTCGAACGAACCCCCCCCCAGCCCAGCCCCCGCCCCCCACTCCCACCAAGCCAAAAAAAAATAATTTTTTAAAAATTTTGCAAGAATTTTACCTCAGGTCGCTCCATTTAGTGTAATAATTGCAAAATCTCCATCGTGCGGGGAGGTGAACAGTGAACACCCCCCTCCCACACCCTCCCGCTCGGTCGCTTGGCTCCCTGCCTGGTCGCTTCACGCCGAGCAGGGGCGTGTTCAGCGGGGGTCCAGGGAGTCCGGACCCCCCTTGCTCGCGCAGAAAACGCATCTGAGGGGTCTAATTTTAAAAATAAATTTAAGCCCAGACCCCCTTCGCCTGCTCGCCAACTTTGGGTTACGTTAGACCCCCCCCTGGGCGCGGCGGCTACAACCTGTACAACTGTACACGCCCCTGCCGAGCAAATTGCCAACATTGAAAAACGAACCCCCCCCAATAGAAAGCTGGCTACGGGCCTGGCCTTTGCATCAACCCATGTGAATGGGTTTTGTCTATAACATTCGGAAATAAGAAAATAAATTGTTTGGATATTATCCATATTCATACGTTAAAATCATTTATAACACTGTGTTTGTGTGTAAATTATTCTCATTAATGCTCATCTCATAAGCTTATTTATTATGATCATTGTGTAGACTATCATAAAGAGTATATGCACTTTATACTTTGTTATCACTTTAGTATTTCTTATTTATTGCACTTATTATACTTCTTTGATTCCATTATGTTTCCTACTGCTCCATTTATAAGTAGAAAAATGTTGTTTTAAATGTCATTTTAATTTTCCGAAGTAACAGGAAAAGTTCAAAAAGAATTACCTATCAAAACATTTTAAGCCAGTCAAAATGCACTATACAACATAAATTATAATGATTTTCAGTTGTATCAATTGTATTACTTGGTGTGGAAAATTGGTTAAGTAATTACCTAGTAGGAATGAATAATGCACACGATTGAATTTAAATAAACCACAATTTCATGGAGAGGATAGCGTGGACTCATACATAAATATTCTCTTTATTCTGTCAATTAAATCAGAAATCGTCTGGGCAACTACACACAATGCTTCATAATACATGTAATCAGTTCAATAGATATATAATTTGTACTGGTCTAAAATAACACATATTCCATGCAACAAGGAATATATTTTCTAGTTGCGAGTCTGGAAATACTCTTCAAGTGTTGGTGGCTCTAATCCAAAGAATTTAGAGGTGTTATTACCATACAAACAAGTATGGGCATTGGTCAACAGTCCACAAACAGCATACATCTTCCCACATGCAGACAACCAGACTTTCTGAGACTTCTTGAAGTCTATGAATTTAAAAAAATTTACAATGTCCCCAAAGAGCCATTCTACAGAAATACGCACACTTGACATTGATTTGTTATACTCATTTTGAACTGGCGTGAGATTCCCTTTGAAGGGTGCCTGCAAGTGGGTTCTGAGAGGGTATGCAGGGTCCCCATAGATGCACATTACACCCCCAGCAGAATTAAAAGAATGCTCTTCAAGCTCATTAAGGAGCCCAGACATCCTCAGAAGGTAACAATCGTGCCTTCGACCCTCTATTGGCCCATAAAGATGGGCTATCATGCCGTTGGCAGCCGTTACCGATTGAAATTTCAGGGCATGCAGTCTTTTGTGGCCGTTATACATGACCTGTTGATGCTGCGAAGGCCGGCATACAGGGCGGACTGTGCCATCCACAAATCCCCAGCAATTTGTGAGAGCAGCTCCTTTGTTGCTAATTGCCTGTGCGTACTCGTCCAGATGCCTTGGACGAAGCCACTGCTGGTCTAGAGTTTCAAAAAGATGATTGAAGTTCTCGTACAAGTGGTCTATGATTGCATTGGTTGTAAGGCATAACTGTGGCACAGAACGACCGAAGTCCTTTACCATGTCTCCGTACCTACAAGGGTACGCAAATCTAGCCAAAGTAATGCATAGTGCCTCTATTCCATCCATCCGGGTGCCATTGGAACATCTGACTCGGTCCGGGACTTGTAAAGCATTCTTCAATCGAACTAAATCGTTCTTCTGGAATCTGAGAAATAGATAATAAAGAGCGAAATAAACAAATGTGTTTTTGGCCTTTATAGTTACTCCTGCAATGAACATGAACATAATATGTACAAAATTGAATGTAGAATAAAACTAACAGCGTACGCTAATTATCTGTCGTAATTATTTGTTTCTTAAAATATGTAAAACAAACTCTAGAAAGGGTGTAGTCTAGTCTATTTTAAATCATGATAATAATTATAATACTCATTAAGATAACTATACCAGAGCCTTAGAAGTCTATGTAACCAATTACCAAAAAGAAAAATTATTATTATAATATCTATAGTAGACACCCTGTTTGGAAAATCAATTATTTTGTTTCACACTAAAAAATATTGGAGACAAAAGCTGGCAATCATAGGTCATACCCTAGCTAGGGTGAGAGAGTAATTTAAATTTTCTTATGTTGGAATTTATTTAACTGTTGTTATAGTCTGATAGACCCAATCATTCATAGTACGTTATCATAGAAAGAAATGCACCTCAAGATTTGGTATAGGTCTGGCGACTAGTCTAGGCAACATTTCTAACTTAATAATTTATATAGGCCTAGATCTTAAATAATAATATAATGTTAGATAAGTCCTAACATAGTAACGCACGAAGGGTCGTTGTCGTAACAGGTACTACAGATATGTACCCGAGGTAGTTTTAGGTTGTTTAGTATTATGTTTATATTTTTATATGAGGTATGTTTAGGGTTAGGGTTAGGGTTAGCGTTAGGATTAGGGTTAGGATTAGTGTTAGGGTTAGGGTACACTTCTGTAGTACAAGTCTGGTACACTTTGTGTATACATATATGTACCTCGAGTACATATCTGTAGTACCTGTTACGACAACGACCCCTTGAGCCATAGTAACAACTAACATGTAGACGGTACCTAAAATAGGAGTTACACTCGTTATCGTTGAAATCATCCAGATCAAAAGTCTCATAGTCGTAGTACCTAAAGTCACAATTGGTAGGCTTGTTGACATCATAAAGAAGCGCAAATTCATGTTCATCGATGATATCCAAACAATGACTGAGAAGTAAACATTCTCTTACCCGGTGAAGATTTGCCATTTTTTAAATACGCGATCAAAACAAAAGGTCATGTGATCAAATTTGCCAATTTGACGCCGTCGTGAAAATCGAAACTAGTTACCGCAGGACGGACGCTCAGCACGCCCGACGGTATGGTCACAGGTTTTTATCCGTCGTAGAACGATCCGTCGTGCAAAACGAAAGCTCCCTAATCGCCGCGTGTCAGCAACATATAGCCGACAGCAGAGCAGCAAGCCGAGCCGCATCAAATAACGAGAGATCATCTTATTATCATAATTCAATCACTCCCGTCTCTCGCAGCAGCAGCAGCAGCAGCAGGTCGCCCGCTATACACAAGCACGCCGCCCGCTATACACAGATTCCAGTGCGCTATTACACAGCATTCCGCCCGCTAATACACAAGCATCCCGGCCGCTCTACACAGCATCCCGCCCGCTGTACACAGCATCCCGCCCGCTGTACACAGCATGCCCGCCGCTAACACAGCACCCCCCCTTATACAACAGCATCCCGGCCGCCTATACACAGCACCCAGCCCGCTTATACACGCACCGAGCCCGCTATACACAGCAACCCGCCGCTATACAACAGTATATCCCGCCCGCTCATAACAGCATCCCGCCGCCGATACACAGCCTCCCGCCCGCTATTAACCAGATCCCGCCCGCTATACACAGCACCCACGCGCCCCTATACCACAGGCATTCCCGCCCGCTATACACAGCACCCAGCCGCTTAACAGACCCCGCCGCCTATACACAGCACCGCCCGCTATACCACAGCACCCAGCCCGCCTATTACACAGCCCCCGCCGTAATACACAGCATCCCTGCCGCTGGTACACGCATCCGCCCGCTATAAGCGCAGCAATCCGTCCACCAAGCCGCTATACCAAGCAACCGCCCGCTATACACAGCAGCCCCGGGCTCGCCTATACACATGCACACCCGCACCGCTAGTTACACAAGCAATCCCGCCGCTTATACACGCACCCAGCCGCCTTAGCACAGCACCACCCGCTATAACACAGCATGCGCCCGCTATAACAGCCATCCGCCCGCTAGGTGTTTGCGCCCGCAATAAACAGCATCCCGCCCGCTCATACAAGCATTGCACGCCGCGAATACACAGCATCCGCCCCGCTCTACACTATGCACCCCAGCCCGCTATATACACAGCATTCCCGCCCGCTATAACACAGCAACCCGCCCGCTGATACACGCATCCCGGCCCGCTATACACAGCATCCCGCCCGCTTGCACAGCATTACTCGCCCGCTATTACACGACACCTCCCCCCGCTAATAACCAGCATCGTGCCCCGCTATACACAGCACCCGCCGACTATCACACAGCATCGTGCCCGTATACACAGCATCCCAGCCCTATACACAGCAGTGGCGCCCGCTCTATGACACGATCCCGGCCGCGCTATGCACAGCATCCCGCCCCGCTATACATCAGCATGCGCCCGCTATAACAGCAGGTCCGCCCGCTATACACAGCATTGCCCACGCTATGCCCACAGCATCCGCCCGCTGACAACAGCACCCCGCCGCTATACACAGACATTCGGTGCCCCGTATACACAAGCATGCCGCCCCGCCATATACACAGCATCCCGCGCCCGCATCATACCACGCATGCGCCCGCTATGCAGCAGAAATCCGCCGCTAGTACACAGCACCCCGCCCGCCTTACCCCTACACAGACCCAGCGCTCATACACAGCACCCCGCCCGCTGTACACAGCATCCCGCCGCTATTTCACACAGCACAGCCCGTATACACAGGCACCCGCCCCGCTATACACGCATGCGCCCTATACCCAGCATCCCCGCCCGCGCTATTAAACAGCACCCCGCCCGGCGCTGTACCACAGCACCAGCCCGCTATACACAGCACCAGCCCGTATACACCAGCCATCCCGCCCCGCTTGATACAACAGCATTGCGCGGCCGGACTGCCTGTTCTGCTGCTGCTGCTACTACTACCTGCTACTACTACCTGCTTACTGCTGCTGCTGCTGGCTGCATACTTACTGCTGCCTGCTGCTGCTGCTACTCTGCTGCTGTGCCTGCTGCTACTACTGCTGCTCCTGCTTGGCTGTTACTACTGCTGCTTGGCCTGCTGCGCTCTACTACTGCCCTGCTGCTCGCTGCTGCCTGCTGATAATATTGCTGCTGCTAGCTGCTGCTCTATTGCTGCTGCGGTCCTGTTGCTAGCTGTTGCTACTGCTCTGCTGCACTTGTGCTGTGCTGCCTGCTATTCTCTACTGCCTGCTGACTGCTGCTACGCTGTTGTGGCCACCCCGGGCGAGGGCAAACCGACAATTGTTGCTCTGACACCACTAATCACTTGTCACCGCGCTTGCCAGCGCGCAGCGCTACCGGGTCACCGGGTATCACAGCGCCAGACGTCACCGGGCGGCAGCCGGGCGGATCCGAACCGCGTTATACCCGGAAGCATCAATTCGGCGATGCCCGCATCTCTCGCCGCCATGCTCGACGCTGAGCCATGCCGAGAACGCGAGATTCTTGCAAACCCGTCGCATTGTTCTTCGCGCTGCCAGTAGTAAGCGAGAGACATGCATGGAGACTTGCGGCCAGTTATACGCAGGAGAAGAAATAGATAGTAAGATAGATAGATAGATAGATAGATAGCATAGATAGTAGAAGATCAGAGTAGATAGATAGACAGATAGATTAGCAATAGATACGATAGCATAGATAGTAGATAGATAGATAGATAGCATAGATAGAATAGATTAGATAGATAGCATACGATTAGCCATACACTTAGATAGATTATGATAAGATAGATACATATATTTAGATTAGAAGAGGGCCGGCCCCCGCCGCCGCGCAGAACAGGCTCACTACACCAACGCTCTCTTCCTCCCATGGTAGGGAATCAATTAGTTTTATTCATACGAAGTGTGTTAGGGTTTAGGCGTTAGGGTTAAGCGCCGACCATGGCTGTGCGACAGGCTTGTTAGTATGCGGGTTATTCTAAACCCTGCAATACCGTTTTTGGACTTAGGGTTAGGGCTAGGTTTAGGGTTGGGTTCGGGTTTTTGCTCATTCCTTACGATATACGGTATAGTCTGGTGAATCAGTTGCATTGATGTTACAACAGAAATATATGCAGTGAACTTCGTGATACCTAATGGGTGCATAAAGGTGAATTGTGCACCTTACCTACGGCTAGCTACTATACTGGCGCTGAGAGGGTCAATGTCCCCCGGCCGGTACTGACCGGAGCATACCCTTGAGGTACTATTATAATATGCCGAACCGTACCTCGCCTACCTGCCACTAATCGAGTCTAGGAGGTTCGGCCGTATTCACCGCTACTCCCTAACCCTAACCCTAATCCTAACCTAACCCTAACCCTAATCTAACCCATAACCATATCATATAGTGGACAGGGTACGTTCCGGTATACCGGACCGTACCAGGGGTACGTTCCGCAGTACCTCGGGGAGCATAGACCCTATTGAGGCATACCTACTAGTAATCAGTACACTGTGAGTAGTCAGTACTACTAGTACATGCGTGCTGTGTATAGGAGCCTAGCCACAAGTTCCCATCTCGCTTAACACTACGTGGCGTCGTCGAAGCTCGACCGTGAACAGTCGGAGGACCTGTCGGTTAATAGTTAGGCCTGTGTACTAGTAGTAGTAGTACTACTAAGTACTACTATACTACTAGTACTAGTAGTAGTAGTACCGTAGGTGAGGATGCCCTAGCTGGACAGCGCGTCTCCCAAGTCGAAATAGTAAGTTCAGGCTGGAGAGTAGTGAATCCGCCTAGATGGGGCATTATTAATTAACCAATTAAATATAATCAGCTTAACCCTAACCCTAACCAAATCCTACCCTATCCTAACCCTACCTAAAACCTAATCCCGTAAATTCAAAATAATAATAACAAGGCCCTCTTAGGGAGAGATTCGCGTTTACTTGAGAGCACGCGCTGTACCTAGTCGCAGCTCCGTTAAGGCGTTAGACGAATAATTCCCTGTCCCAATATGAACCTTTTTTATATTTTGGGGAGGGGATTATATTGGGACAGAACCGGGGTTCATTTGAGAATTTCGTGAGATCGCATGCAAAATGCATGACGCAGTGCGATGCGGCCCGTACGCCGCTCTGCGGCGCTGAAAAAAAAACTACGTTCCCTTCTACATGGTTTACCTTGCTACTGATATGTGTATACATTCATTCAATCGTTATTCACTTTTCAAAAGAGTGTTTTTCCGAAAGACCTGGCTTCGTTCCACTTTCCTTAAAATCATTCGCCATTTACAAACAATCAAGACGCATCAGCGAACGAGGGCTATATCAATAGCACTGGTTTCTCTCTTGATCATCCTGTTGGCGCTGCAGGGGGCTGGTATTAGACTCGCTATGATTGGTCGATTGTTTTGTAAATGGCGATATTAAAGGGATTAACGTCAGATTTTCTATGGTAAATCTGCTAAAAAAATTCCATTTTTAAATTAAAAGTAAAGAACTAACGGGGACTAACCAAATCGGTCAAATTCTTAACTTGATAGATCTTGTTTCTCAACTAGATTAAATCCAAAAAACCTTGGACGATTTCCGAATTAATGTTGTCTTAATACTATTAATTGCCTTGCTATGGGCGATAGTATGGGCGATCACGAATGTTCATCGAACAGATATAGTAAAATAGGAAGTATAACTGCAGCAATTTAAACCACTAAAATTGTAACAGAATTACTTATATTATTGTGTGAAAAGTGGAAATATTTTTTTTATTTTTTAACTGATTGCAGTGACGTAATCACTTGTAAGGAAAGTGGAGGAAGCGGGATTCTGAAAACAGTCTTTTTGAGAAGTGAAATAAGAATTTGAAGTGATGTATACACGATATCAGTACTGACACAGTTGACAGATAGAGTGACAGTAGCAAGGTAAAAGCCATGGTAGAGAGGGAACGGTAGGATTTTTCACGCCAATCATAGCGTACGGCCGCATCGCACCTGCGCATGAACATTTTTGCATGCGATTCTCACGAATTTCAATGAACCGCGTTCTGTCCCAATTTATAACCCTCACAAAATCATCAAAGGCAGTATTGGCTAC